AGGACCTGGTGGCGAAAGTGGAACATACACGTTCAGCTTGAGGGCTTCGTTCCGCAAACACTGGCGAGAATGTGAACTGGAGAACACTGGCGGTTAAATAAACATGTATATCCACACACGGCAACTTCACGTCAAGTCCAATACTGTGTGACACTTCAATTCAGGCACCGCAATCCACTGTCAAATCTTAGTGCAATAAGGCCAGCACTCACCCAATGTTCAATCCCTCCACTGTTGCGCTGATTCAACAGTCAGAAGCTGATGAGATGCAGAGGATTTCGCACCGCATGGAACACAGCGTCTTCAACACTCTTTCACACTCAGAAGAAGATATCAGGGTTTCAAAGATTAATCAGTTCACACTCTTAGTGGTAATTATATTTGTGGTCAATACACTTCACAATTCCTTATCCAATTCAGTGCAAGACATGCATTCACACCGATCCGGTGTTTCATTACTTATCTTTCTCCCTCGAGTGATGGCATTCTCCAATCTTGACTCGATCTCCACAATTCACTCACTTCACATCCAATTCACGTTCCAGCTTGCACTCCCTCAATCACCGTTGCACCCCTTTCCAGTCAGATCCTCACAGCCACTCCAAAGATCCCAGCAAACCCAAGCCACTGCCAAAGGAATCGATCGCTCCCGGGGGAGTACCACCCTCGAATGCCTTTTCCTTTTCCTTTTAACTGCTTCTCTGGGCCGTGTTTCCATATCACAGATCCCCACACCAAACACCCGCACCTGGTACCGCTTAGCTAATCAGCTGCCGCTGTCATGGCAACTGACAACAGCAAACCAGCACGGTGTGCCGGTGAAATCGTCCCGGGGGGAAACACACTCCTAGCGGAAATTAGTTCCGCTAGATTTGTCACCTTGCTCACCAGTTGCTTTGAATGGGTGGATTGATGGGTGGACAGCAGTCGAAGACAGAGATGGTATGAAGGGATGAGGGAATTTCAAGTGTGTGTTGACGACAAAATGTTTGGCTTACCACAGTTCATCACAGTACTACATTTACCAATACACAAAACAAGAAATTTGCCCCTTATTAATTTGTTGTGAACACTGGAAACTTTAATGGTATGGACTTCTGAACTACACATGTCCCCAGTTTTAATTTTAATAATCTGGTCAGTGAACGATTTAGGGTTTAATGTACTTTTGCATTCTTCTTCTCCTCTAGCAGCATGGGGTCTGCTCTGATTGGCACGGTTCAGTGCACTTGGCAGGAGAGGCCTTTTCAAAAAGATGTGAGGGCTGATTGGAGGTGGTGACCATATGGAGGTGGCAGGCTCATTAAATGTGCAGTTCAGCTCTCTCATGCACTCTCAAAAAGCAGTTATTCACTATACATTTGGCTTCCAGCAATCATATACTGTAAATTACATATAAACAGATCATTTATTTCAAGGAATATGAATGAGCTGATGGCATTGGAAGAAAATATGCTTCAGATTCAATAAGTTATTGACAGCAATAATGTCAGGCACCACACACATTTCCCTACTCTTCCCTCAACAAAAACTGTGTACAGTAAGGTACAAAAATATGGTTGCTATTATACCAACCATTGGTCTGTAATTAACAAAGTTAAACAAGCATTTAAGAACTTCTTAATAAATAACACTGATTTAAGAGGTATAGGAATTTCATGTTTTTACATTTAAAGCAGTCATTCAATGCAGCCATTGTTTGGGGTTTTAAATAAAATATATGTTATGGTATGTCTATAATGCAGAAGTCAATTAAAATTATTATATAAATGTACTTATGAATCAAGCATATATATAAATGTACTAACTTAAGTTAACCTAATTTCAGAGGATGATGTTGAGGAGCAAACTGGAGTACTCAAGAACTTAAGATTTTACTTTAGACTTAGGAGATGGATTGGAGAAATGTTATTAGATGTCATGACAGTTCCCAACTCATTTTCTGAGGGTTCCACGTGGTCTTTTCAACTGTTGGGACAACTAAATATTAGTATAATCTGTGAATGGAAAAACAGTCACTCTTAACAGATTATTTATTATAAGATTGAGTGGATCTGTATCCTAATTTCCATTTGATGCAGTGAGTTTTAATGACACGATAAATAGATTTTGTGAGCTGGTGTGATGTGCTTCTGTGTACCCCAAACAAAGATATTCAGCAGTACATACACAGGCCACTGCAGACCCGGGTAATAAAATAAAAAATAAAAATATATATTCTACATGATGTAGATTAATTTAAATATTGCCCACTGTGTCCCTCTGTGTCCTATTAGTCGAGTTCCGGTGGCCTTTAGGAGCATAGTTCTGCCACACAAACAACGTCAGACCATATTAGTGCATAGAACACGACCCTGTCAGAGGAATGTTAACAAGCTTCAGATGCAGTCAGGCTTGTGGTAACTTGCCGTTCCTCTTGTTGCTGGGTCTGTCCACTATTCATCCTGAAACTGTTGGACTGATTTGTCAAAGCTGCCTTATGAAATACAATACAATACAAAACAATACAATATTTAGTGAATCTTGAATCTTAATGGCCTTCCAAGAGTGCTGATAAAACAGTACAACAGCACTGGAACTTTTCACTGTCTGTATCACTCATCTTGTCCATGTTTCACGTTCCAGACTCTTTCAACTCTTTATTCATGTTACATAGTTATGCCAGTAAGTCATTGAAACATTTACTCAACTAATTTGTTTAAAACCATTATTAGTGGAATCGCTTGCCCAACCTATTTGCCCAACAACATTGTGTCTAAAATGTAAGTTACTCAATTTAAAATCTTTAAATCACACAATCATGCTGCCATGCTGCCAAATCATGCTTCACGTCACTTCTGCCGAGCCAGAGACGCTTCACGTCACTTCTGCCAAGCCAGAGACGCTTCACGTCACTTCTGCCGAGCCAGCGTCTACGGACAAGATGGCCGCCTCCGAGCCAGTGTCTACGGACAAGATGGCCGCCTCTGAGCCAGTGTCTACGGACAAGATGGCCGCCTCCGAGCCAGTGTCTACGGACAAGATGGCCGTCGTCACAGAGTCTGTTCCTGATCCGGTGTCTGTTCCTGATCCTGTGTCCTGGCTATGTCACGTGTGGGTTTTGTATCTTGTTCTTGTCTGTCATGTGTTCCCCTGTCCTTTCATGTTCAGCTGTTCCCCGTCATGTTGATTAGTCTCCCCATGTGTTTCTGATTAGCCACACCCCCTTGTTATCTTGTTTAGCTTGTCTGTTTGTGTATTTATACCTCCGTGTTTCAGTTGTGTTTTGTCGGTCGTTGTTTCCTGTAGCTGTTCCGTGTTCCGGTCCCGAGTTCTTTATTCTGTATTTTCAGGGCTGCCAACTCTCACGCATTCAGTGTGAGACTCACGCAATTGAGCCAATTCTCACGCTCTCACGCCACACCCACGATTTCTCACGCTGAAGTGTCAACCCGGTCGGTCAAATGCCTGAAAAATAAGTTTATCTATAGATCTACCAGTTGAGCCATTCGTGATCGACTAGTTTTACCGCAAATTAGTTAAAATATCCTGTAATCTAGAGGGAGCGTGCATGCGAGACAGATGTGTTGAGCTCCTAACGCCGCGGTCCTAACCACGCACGCACACGACGGCAGAAAGGTAAGCGAGCGAAAGAGCTTGCGTGTCTTTCGCGTGTCTGAAGTACAATCTAACTACGTAACCTTAAAATAAAGAGTAACCACCTATTCTTCTTATGTTTTTGTATTTTTTCAAAAACGAGTTGTCCTTGTTTGTGCCAACCCAGTTTATGTAGAGTCCCAGGAAAATCCCCAAGGACCATGTTATGCAAACTTCCTGATTTATGTTTCATCTTTCCTTACGCTGATTTGTAAGTAGTGATGTTTGTTCCTGCGTGATATCAGGCTGTGTATACGATGTGACTGTCAGTGACAGCAACTGGATAAAACTGCTGCTCATTTTGCAGACTCATGCAGATTTTTTTCATGCAGGAGGCAATGCTGTGGTGGAAAAAGGGAAAACAGCTGTCATTTTGCAAACTGCTGTTACACAATGCAGAGTGGATTGAAGTTGGCTGCTGTTGTCCATGTGTCAAAACAGCTCATATACATAATAATGCAGCAGGAACATTTCCGTGTAATCATGCCAATCACAATGCAAAACAGATATAAACTACAGATTATCTGACTCCAGCATGGCTTCATCTAATATGATTAGATTCCAGAAAAATAGCTTTAGTCAATTGTCATGCTGAAGTCGCTTCATAGAAGATCAAACCTTGTTAATATAGCTGTCAGACAGACCAAAATAAAGCTATACCTGAAGCACCTAAGACAGAGGAAATACCTATGGGAACCACCGAATGGGGATTGCTGAGACCAGGACAGCAAAAGAAAAGACAAAAAACAACAAAGAAAAGACAAAGACAAAATCCAACAAAGACTGGGAACACTGGGACTTATACACAAAGGGTAATGGACCAACAAGACTTGAAAATCAAAAGACGGAGACGGACTTTTTGACTTGAGCACGGCGACTTCTCCAACGGGGTGGGGACGGTGGGGACGGACTTTTTGACTTGAGCGCGGCGACTTCTAAGGGCCCCTCCCCCTGCCTCGGGCCCTGGGTACCCCTTTTCCCCCGCTACCGCGCCCCTGACCCACGAGGGTAGGGGGAGTTTCAGTCAAACAAAAAGTAAAACAAAACAACCAGGCTAAACCTACCGGCGGAAGGACCACTTAATGGCTTTTCCAAAAGCGCAATCCTACTCACACACACACACACACGTCACCGTACACTAGATCACACACATAGGCACTTCAAAAGTGTCACCCACTGCAACACCACCACTATCTACCTCAGTCCCTGAGAAAACAAATACACTGAGTTTAGTAAAACCCAAAAATAAATAGCCAAAAGAAAATATAATAATCAAGGTCAGCAACGACACACAAAAATAATTACAGAAACAAAATCTAAACAAAATACACACAGCTAAACTAAAAAAAACAGAACCACAGCAGATAGAGCTGGTGCAGCACACACACATACACACGCTCGCGTGTGCACACACACTGGTTCTCGTACAAATAACAGTCAATTATTATTGATCATAACTTTTCTATCACATTAAAAACGAAAGGAAGTAGACGATGCAAATCCTGCTGCTGGCCCACGGCGCGATCGCAGCGTAAACACGTGGTTCTCAAATGTACTCAGGTTATACTAAGCGCAATTCACTGTAGAAACAGTAGGAAGATCGTGTTGAAGACGAGAGCAAAGAACGGTCCGGAGGATGAGAGAGAAGACCCACGCCTTAAAGGAAGCGAGATGTTACTAATGCTCTTTTACTACAATTTCCATCTATCTTACATAACACTTACCACAAGAGAATATTCCTCACATATAATTCCCTCTGGCTACTGTTTACAGCAATCATCAAGACCGCCGATTACCTGGGGTACAGGAAGCAACACATTAATAGTAACATAGCGACCCACTATTACCGCACCCCAGTACTCAATACAGAGACAGAACATACCTATACCTGAAGGGTGAACAGACACTCACTCTGAACTGATAACGTGCACCGTGTAAAGACTCAAGGGCGGATCTAATCCGTGGGGAATTTGCATATCATAATTAATAATTGGTAATTAATAATTATTCATGCATGTTTGGATTAGATCAGTCTTACATGTTAATAAATCTCCCGATAAGGGAGGATCTGTCATTTTACCTGCATGCATGCATGTGAATCCTTGAAATTAACCACAAGTTGATTGCAATTAATTACACGGACCACGTTTCACAAAACAGGTAAAATGAATTAGCTCAATTGTCAGGATAATATTTGTGGGGCTCCACAATATCATCTTACTTTATAGGATTGCAGGAAACGCAATTCTCTGGCCAGAAGAATTGGGTTTCCCGCCCTATAAACACATACTCTTTAAGGTATATTTAATTTTAGTAAGCTTGTAGCATAAGATCTTTGGCACTTAAGGGACTTGAAACTGAGCAAAGAGACAGTACATCAATCAAATGAATATATAATTAATTTAATAGAGGCATGACTACTTATGTATTTACTACGGTTACACGGGATATATGTATTTACAAACACATAGACATCAATGAACAATCCAATAAGACATCAATGAACGAGAAATGCGTAAAGTTTGGACAATGGATAACTTACACGCGTGAGTGAGTAAGAGAGAGAGAGAGGGGGATGGGGAGAGAGAGAGAACAGTGGCAGAATTCCTCCTAAGACCTCTCCGATTACAACACGAAACATCATCTTAAAGCTTCTTAGAAGCTCTATAAAGAGATTATACTTGCACAAGTTATGTTATGGTCTCTCTGTGTGTCGAGGCATTCCTGTACGGCCCTGTCTGGCCGCGTGAGCTGAGTCCTTTGTGTGTGAGGAAGCGTCACGTGGGCTGCTTGGCGCGCGTGTTGAAAGGTCCCTTGTAGATGGACTTGCTGGAGAGATATGTCACGGGGTTTTCTTTTCAATCGTCGATTGGAATTACACACAGAGACTTATCTACAACTGAAAAACACAAACTAAACTAGAAACAAATAAAAGAAAGGCGAAGAACTCGCCCGGAGGCGAGACGTTACATTATGACACGAGGACAGGAAGGGAAGAGAGCGAGCGGAGGGGAGAAGCGTCATTTATCACTTTTGGAGAAATCCAGCCTCTTCCTGTTGGCTTGGCCAATTAGAGGGTTGGAAGTTTACAGGCGGGACTTTGGGTTTTATTTCTCTTTGTCTTGTCAGACTGCTTGTCTAATTAAATTATGACCTGTGTTAGGAATGGTCATTTCTACTGCAGAGATGTGTTATGCACATAATCATACCTTTTACGGTGTGTTCATACATATATCTGGCTGAGTCAAGTCCAGGGCATTTTTACGATATCAAACACGACTGTTATAGGTAAACATTTACATTAAAATACATCTAGGGTATTTATAATTCACTTTTAAGTTACGGAAAAATTATAGTCATTACAATGTGACATGGGCAAATGGACACACATAAAAACACATCAAATATATCTGGTTAAATGTCTTTTAAAAAGAGAAGTTTCCTTCTCTTGAACATCAAATTCCAAGTCAGTCATAAAAATGTCTCGTAACTGGAAACCACGCTCTGTCCTGAGCAGGCTCCACTTGTGGGGGATGCGTGTGTGTGTGTGGGTGTGTGTGTGTGTGTGTGTGTAAATTTACATTCCAGGCTTTTTGGGTCTTTAGCAGGATGTATTTAGTCCTTTCAGATTCACCCTCGCCCAGTCCTTACAACCGTCAGAAAAGTGCTGATGGACAGGGCCGTAGCTAGAGGATTCGGGGCCCCCTGAAAAAATATTGATGTGGGCCCCCCACCCTCCACCAATATCATATACTGTACAATAGATGAACATGGAGGCCCACATAACAGAAGATGGTGATGTTGTTGTAAAACCTTTATTTTAAAAGTTAAATGTTTATATAAAAATTACAACTAATAAAAACTAACAAAAAAGCAAGAAATTGTTAAATAATAATAAAACCAATTTTTAAAAAGTAATAATTTTTTCCCCCCATCAGTCTGTTATAATTCATAAATCAAAAAGTAAACATTTAGAAATTGACAAGAATGCAGTCTAATTCAAAAAATAAAACCATTCTTTGTCTTATTTTTTAATAAAGATAATATGGAACTGGTAATATTATTAAATAAAGCGAATACATTTATTCATCCAAGTGCAGTGTGTTGTATTCGTGTTTTCTCGATGTTTTAAATATCATCAGCCGGCAGGTCAGATGCATAATGCATTGCGTCGTGACTCGTGTAATTTTTTTTTAAACTCTAGTTACAATAGTGTAAAAGACAGGAATTTAGACCACGTAATCATTCGGTCGATTGCGGCGCGCACCGATAATAAAAGATGACTGTACACGGCAGACTGTAGACGGAAGTTTTCTAATTCCCAGCGAAATAACAATATATAACCGGTCTTTAAGAACGTCTTGATCGACTGGGATACAACCACTCTCCTTGCCTCCCTCTCCGTCTTTTCCTGGCATTTCTGGTTCCCTGATTTATGTTTTCTTTTCCCCGACATTTTTCAGTCAGTTAGTCTCCTGCTCTTCCACCAAGTTCATCGTTATCTTCAGGCTGCCGCCTCAACTCTGATTGGTTCTGTTCACGAGCTGGGGTGGGACTTACAATTTTATTGGGTCCATCTGATGTTTGTCACTGACTCTAACTGAATAATTAATAAATACTTTAGGTCGGACTAAACCATTTTTATGGAGGTAAGAGAAGCAGATATTTGGAAAAATATTTACCCAAATTGCACGTTTTTGTGGTTTTCATTTAAATCTCAGGCATACAACTAATATAAATATTAGAATTATTCATACTACAGGGGCCTAAATAGTATAACTGCTGGATTTTGTGGGGCCCCCTGGGCAGCGGGGGCCCCTATAATTGTCACCACCTTTCACCCCACTAGCGACGGCCCTGCTGATGGACAGCTACAATTTGAAGTAATGACAACACATAAGTAGTGTTCTAAACACCTGATTTAAACCAGACGCCATCAACACATAGGGTGAATTGCCCTAATGTGGGACATTTTTTGCACTTCAGACTTCTGTGACATATTGCGATGTGTAACCAAAACATTAAATCCACACCCAATACCTTTTTAAAAACCCCAGTATGCGTCCTAATCAAATCAAAAGAGAAAATTCAGATAACCCATTCATAAAAGATATTATAGACATATTAGTGATCTTATTGCAAGTTGTCTGAAATAATCTGCAGCTTCCTAATGTGGGACAGTTGTTTCCCCAATGTGGGACACTGAAAAATCTATGATAAAAGACCAAAAAATCACATTGATACATGTAGAATAGTAAAATCTTATTTTATTTTAGATTCTCTCTTAAATCTTAGTTAGTAATTGTCTTGGTTATGAATGGATGAAACATGTAAAATAACAATTTTTTTAGTTGCATTATATCAGTTATAGTGATGAATTTGTAAAACACCTAAAAAAATAAACAGAGAAACTTTGGACCAAAATAATTTGGTATAATTACAACTAAAAAATAAATGTACAATTGTTTCTGTTTCCTCTTTACAAAAACAGCACAATGGAGAAACCCCTTCTTTAAACTTACTGATAAAATCATTACATGGATAATATCTATTTATTATTTTAAAGTGAGTTTCTTTGACTTATTTATTAGGAATTACATATTTATTAATATCTGACCACAGATTCTGAAAAAAGGTCATGAAAATCCTGTTTCCATTTCATCAATGCCTTAGGTGAATTTTTTTTTTCTTTAGTTAAGATTTGTCTAAAATAAACATTATTAATATTTTTATTACATAAAAAAAAAAAAAAAGTTTAAACCATGCCCCACCACACATTTTTGACTCATTGAAGTACTGTCCCACATTAGGCTGATCATGCTGTCCCGGATTTGGAAACACCTAATGTGGGACACTAGGAAATTTTATGAAAAATATAAAATATATAGTTTATACACATAAAGTTACACTATTTTTTGATGGACAAACATTTCATAAGCATATTAGGCTAAAAAGTAGCAGGATTGCTTTGTTTAAAATCTATTTAACTCCTTAACATCAAATTTGTTAAAACTCTATGTCATTAACCTTCGGATGGTTTTCACACAAGGAGTCTCCTGTTTGATGATTGCTCCACCCTGAAATTTGATTGGACATTTGATAGGTCATGTGATTTTGATCACATGACACCACAGCTTTGTCTAACCCATAGTTTCACTGTCATTCATGTATTTATGAGGGACCTACAAACACTAGACCTTAGGTGTCCCACATTAGGCACTAGGCAGTGTCCCACATTAGGGCAATTCACCCTACCTGAAGCCGCCTTTCCACTGCACATGACATTCGCATACGATTGTCGCATTTCGCCCCCTAGTGTCAGTCGCATGGAATTTTAATTACGATCGTACGCGGCAACATGGGAGAGAAGTTGATTCTCGCAGTCTCCGAATACCCCATTCTTTATGATATTACTCTCGAATCATACAGCAGGAAAAATGAAGCTTGGAAGAGAGTTAGCGAGATTGTCGGTCTGCCAGGTGGGTTTTGATTGCCAAATGTGCAGAATGAATGCAAATCTTTGTCCCGCCTAAATTACCATCTAGCCTAGTATTTCAGTGCAGTTGTATTATTCCACGTGGTTAACATAACAACGAACAATGCTATCAGTTTTTTTTTTTTTTGGTTAATTTAAAATGTAAAGTTTTGCTCATATGCTACTGTGATGTGAACTAGCAGTATGAAAATAGTCTGAATTTAAAAAAAATTGCATTATTAACTAGCAGTATGAAATTAGCAGTGTTGGGTGTAGGCTGGCTAATGCATTAATAATGATCTAAAATTAAAATAAGGGATCACTCTTCATGTTTTTGTAATTTGATTAGTTACTTATGATGTAAGTTTACAGTTATGAGAGTTAAGTTTACAGTTATGTAATTGTTTTTAAACTTAACAGTGGATGAGTGCAGGAAAAAGTGGAGGGATCTCCGTGAT